GGAAGGAACGTCGATCTTCGTTCGGTTTATCACAATAAGTTCGGTCGTTAAGCCTATGCAGACAAAAGGGGATCGCAAATCGGCGTAATCCTTTGATAGTGCGAGGGCCTATTTGCCGAGCTAATGTTACGCGCGAGGAAGGTAGAGGGTGACGCAAGCCTACTGTAGCCGTAGCCGTTCTGCGTCCTGCGTTCTACGTTCTACGTTCTACGCTGTGTGCCGTAGAGTCACCCTCGCGCGATCCTCCACGACCCTTTGTTTGAGCTCTGTCGCGCGCGCGATACATTTCCCGTTTCGCACGGAGGGTGCGAACGACTGTTTGGCGGCCGACTACGAGGACCACACAGTCCTAAAGACTACGAGGCTGTCAGCACTGCCATCGGCATCACCCCAACCGGCACAAGAGCATCCCCACGTGCACTTATCAACATTACGAATCATCCCCGGCTGCTCGTCAAACGACATTGTCCCTTTCTGCACTCTTCTGAGCAACCCGCGAGCTCCGTTGCGTCTCCTCCCTTGAAAAGGTACTCTTTGCCCGAATAACTCTGAGGCGTTAATCACCCGCGACGCCGTTCGGAATCAGCACTGGGAATTAGCGCACTTGCCGATTAGGTATGTAAAGCTTGGACGAGATTATGGAGATCGAATTGAGCGGCTGTGTGCCGGAGCACACGTCCTGGTAATGACGGCCGTGCAGTGCTGCAGTGCTGGAGTGCTGTAGTGCTGTAGCGGTCGAGTGGTGTAGTCCAGTGGCAACGCGTTTCGGGGGTACCTAGCTGCAATTCCCGTAAATTAAAGGACAATCGAGCCGAGGTCACTCCCCATTGTTACGGCTCCAGTTCGAACGGCGCCACCGGACAATGCCACCGCCTCCTCCACCCTGCCCACAAATTCACGATCGTATTTCATACCACTGTCAAACGTAGGCAGCTTCGGAGCTCCCCTCCGCCCCACTCGCTCATCATCCACTCTCCTGCTCTCTCTCTCTCTCCCCCGCCAACTCCCAGAACTTCAGTTCCAACTGACAGTGTCTACATGAAGATCCCCGCCAGCCTCTTCCGGCCGGAGCATCGCTCGATCCTCCGGGCGTCCTCTCCGGGAAGCGGCGTACCTTGGCTAATCAGTGCCTTAACGGAAGTAACTCGCTGTAACGTCTGATCGTTTCCTTTTAACCAACGGTTAAAGAGGCGTCTCGAGCCTTTGATCTTCGCGCTCGATAAGCCAGAGGACGCCGGCAAATTGGCGTGAACTTTGCCAAAGTTCCCGGCGGAGCCTTCGGCCCGGAAACTCGGGGACACGCGGCTTTCGCAAAAGCCAACTGCTCTGGGAATAAGAGGCGGAGGAGGAGGAGGAGGAGGATCGGGATGGGAGGCGTTCGAGGCTTCCGTGTCCTATTAAAATCCGTCAAAGCTTTCCTGCAATTAAAGCGGTGCGGCCGACGTGTCAAATAAATCACGGATCAATAAATTAGCAGGCAGTTAAGCTCGGGGAAGGTTTATCTGTGCGCTGGCATCGGAGGCCACTGGAGAGCGGAAACTACCCTCGATAAAACACTTGCGCTTACGCTTAGGTTTACGTCTGCGTATGGGCTCGCCGCTAATCTGCATTTTAAATGCCCAACTTCCACCTCCCGCTTCTCCACAGTCCTGGATGCAAGCCCACTGTTCGTTTCAGCCGCCATTCCGTCCTTCGCTTCGCTTTCGAGTCACCTTCGAACGCCGGCAAAAATCACTTCCATGTGTCTTGTCCTCTAGAAATTACGGCTTCTCGAACGTTCGACGAGCACAAAATGACACTCACAGCCATTTGTATGGAAATCTCAATTACGTCCGAGAATACGGGCGGTAAAAAGTCCTCGTAAGTCTGGAACTGCTTCAGCCGCATCATTTAGAAAAGTTACGGCGCCCGTGTAGCGCTGCATCCCCATGGGGACGGGCACCGCCACAGCCCATTTATCGGTGTTTACATTCTGAATAATTCGATATAGCCCTCATCATCCTCCTCGGCACGCCGTCCTTCTCCTTGCCTCGATCTCCATCCTGATCCCGATCCTTATGTTGCTCCTGCTGCACGTAGTTCCGCCGACTCGCCTCCTCGGTTTAGCTCGCAGGCAGAAGGAAAAGAGTCCCGGAGTCAGGCAAACGCTTCTCGTCGCTCTTCCTCGCGAATCTCGAACGTGCGGACAAAGAGACGTATCATGGATTCCCCTCCGGGACAGGAGCCGCGCCAAGAAAGACGCTGGACTTTATGGTCGCGTCGAATTCAATGGAACGTGAGTTATGGGCCCGTATGAGCAGGAGGAACGAGCAGGCGATGCCGGGAGACTCGAATAAACCGGCATGACTCACGCTCATCCTTTTATTCTGCTGTCCTTATCCTCCTTGACTATCGACAACGCGTCGAGCGCGTACCGGAACAGCGCACAGCGCACAGCGCACAGGCCAGTCGAAACGGTCACGTGACAGCTGTCAGATCTTACTGCGTTTCAGCTATAGCAGCTACAGCAGCTTTGGTATTGCGGCCCTGTATACATATTTATGCCTCGCCCCTCCTGCTTTTCAAGCGGCAGGATATTCGGAGATTTTACCAATATTTTTTACGTTCCTGGGAGGAAATGAGAAAAGAAAATTTAAATGTGCCTCAACACTGAAGACTCGCGACCCAAGAACTGGGACCTGAGAGTTTGGAGCTCGGGATTAGGCATTGCGGCTGGCAGACAATACGTGGCTACACGAGAGGAGAACGAGCCGCGCCCCTTCCATGTAACGCTGATTGATACTCTAGGCCATCGATGGGACGTCGAGACGACTCGTGTTACTCCTCTTCTTGTTGTTGTCGTTGTCGATGTCGTTGTCTTCCCGTTCTCGTTCTGGCTGGAGCGCGACAGAGACATATATAAAATTCCTTCCTAGTCATTCCATCTCTCTCTCTCTCTCTCTCTCTCTCTCTCTCTCTCTCTCTCTCTCTCATCTGTGCCGTACGAGTTATTAATATTATTACCTGCTATTGGAAAATACAAGGAACAGTAGCTATCAAAAACAACGTTTGTTATTCGAGCCATTCCTTTCACTCTGTCCAAACAATTATACACTGTATTACAAACAGTCGAGAAAATGATTGTGATATTGTTAAAGCGCATCTTTGCTGTGTCTGCCGACCTAATCCGGTCCAAACACCCATTTTCTACACTGTCAATATACAGGAATGAGAAATACCGGCTGTTCTGCCCGCTTAGAATGTTGTTGAATATCTCAGAAGCACCTTTTGTGTCAAGCGCTACAAGATATTGTATGAAAATGGAGTGAATGAATCGATAAAAAATCCTCAAGGATTCCTACCCTTTCTTAAGGATGTCTTATTGGCATTGAACATCCCAGAAGAAGAGAACGTATTCGTAACTCGTGGACCGGACCGCAAATCCGAAGTACAATTTTATTCCAACAAAATCCGCTTTTCCCTTTATCGCATTGATCTCCTCGGTTAAGCTCGGCAGTCGAGAGTCGTGATATTCGCTTGTTCAATACTCTTTTTCCGAAATGGGGTTCTTCATAGTTTTCAGATAGGCGGCATCGTCACTCGATATCGGATGGGCTGTAAGTTATAAGTTATAACCGTTTGTTCTCGAATTGCTAGGCACGAAGCAGCATCAATTCTTCCTGGGCGCCTGTGCAGTATTAAATATGTTTATCACGAAGCCCACTCAGCCGTGAGCCATGAAAGGAAGTAAAATATATTTCAAAATAGGTACTAACAGTAAAAGGACAATTGAATATTCGTTAAAGACGTATAAAAAAGCGATGGATGGCAATCGATGATAAAAATATATAGACGGAAACTCTTAGAAATAAGACAAGCAGCTTCTTAATACATCCCATCAAAAATAGATAAGTATAGTATTGTCTAGCACGTTCAACGCACCATGTCGCGGAGAAATTACAAAGGGTAACGTACGGTGCATACAAATATTCGAGAAAACCTTTTGATCCGTGGTAGCGGTATACGCACTCGTCCTCCTGATACGTAAAGAATCCCGCATACGTACGAATAGTAAATGGCGACCGCGTGTGTAGCGCAACCGTGTGCGATTGTCACAATGATAATAATCAGAGCTGCAGCCCCGTGCCAAATGAGACTCGTAACTTGACTGACCAAATGAAGACAATGGACTCGGCCAAGCTGGTCTCCAATCTCATTCTATCGCCGAGATCGCCGAGAAACTCCTTGTGAAATATTCGAGGATTGCTTCATCTTCCGGGATTAGGACAGAAGATCGAATTCGTATACTAGAAGATAATCAAGAGCCACCTAGACACGATTGGGCTCCATCGATCCCGATAGAACCATCGATCGATTTAGCAAGGTGGTGCATCGCTGCACGATGTTCGAACGTAGCTCCTCCTATTGCTTGGATTCCAGCAATGGCCCTCTCGATTAACAGCGAAATTGGATCGAGCCGTTCCTCGGGCATCCGGCAATTCCTATTGCCTCGCTGTTGCCCTAGGTATCGGCTAGAGAGATGCATCGCTTCCAATCATTCCCATTAACATTAATTTCAATGCCCCTCGAGCTCTTCCTATAGTCAATTCCCAGTCGTTGCTACAGACGGTGTTTGCTACATTGAGCAATGTAGCCACTTATTGTTAGATGTATCGTACGTACGTATCAGATATGTCAGATAAGGCAGATATTTTCTGTATCGTCATTTGTCTATGAACTTTGAAAAGTTATATCTATTTACTTACAATCATATTGATGCGCCTGTCTCAAGGCAAACTGCCGTGCTTCAGAGGGTCCCCGGACAAAGATTTTTTTCATCCGACAAGTTCCATTCACTTGCACTACATGGGTAAACGACGCTTCATCCGGAGAAATGTTTCCCGCCATATCGACTGGTGCTTCTTCCCCGTAGACTCCGTGGAGAAGAGAATATCGACTGCGACGCTTCGTGTTGCTGGGAATTTGCCGCAGCGCGACGCTGCAGTCTAACCATTTACTATGTTTGATCGATAGACGTTTCCAGATGTTTCATGGTAGAAAACAAATGTACGTATTTGTGTCGTCGTTCGGTAGTTCTGTAGAGAGTCGAAAAGATATCCGATCTACTTCCCACAAGTGATTACAAGTGCTACGTGTGAAAAGGAATCCTGATCTGATTGAATCAGTTTGGTGGAGAAATAATGACGAAAGACGAGGGACAATTCGATGGGATGTTGCTGGCGATGGCACAGCAACACGAGGGCGGCGTACAGGACGTAAGTGTCGGACAATATCGGCGATTCGAGCAGATTTCTTTTGATTTGTGATCAGTGACCCTCTTCTATGTATTATTCCACTCTAATATTGCTCAGAATTATCTAGAGAGGCATGATTTCACGGATGAAATTCAAAATTGATTACTGTAATCAAATCTTTAAAACCACTGGATCATTATTTGTATTTGACAAACTATCGTAGAAATGTTTAATGTGACAATAATGACCTTTTAGTATCTTACGGTTCCTTAGATTACCCATTACAACTAGTTTCCTTTAACCTTCTGATTAAAATCTGCATTGTTTTAGAGTACATACGTTTGGGGCCGACTGAGAGTCACTGTGCATGTACATATATGATTCATTTTTGTTTCTGCCTTGTTATTCTACACTCATGTCTAATTTTACATTTGAAATTTTATCGTAATAAATGTGTAAATATGGAAACGGTATTCTAAAAAAAATTTCATTTCAGCTGTTAGACACAATATTCAGTTTTCTCGCAAGAAAAACGGACTTTTATACTGGCGGAGGTGAAGGTGCCGCAGAAAAGGTAAAAGTAATTGTAGAAGTCATTAGAGTGCTATCAGCAAAATTTTGTATGACAACTCTTCACCTACAGTTGGTTATGGCGAAATTCAAAAAACACGAAGCAACAGCTCTCGCAAAAGCATCAGCGGAAAAGGCCGAACGTGCTGAACAAGAACGAAGAAGGAAAGAGAGAATCGAACGAAAGCGAAAAGAGGAGCAGCAGACCGAGGAGAGTCAAATCGATAGCGAATCAAAGATCGTTGAATTGACGGACGAACAGGCAGCGAAATTGCAAGAAGAAATTGACAGTAAGGTATATCGTGGCCATAAACTCTTGCCTGAATGTATTGACTAGTAATTTACTTCTTCCGAGAATCATTAGTTATAACCAATCGCAGAAATCTGGGTTGGCAACGCCGGCTGATCCCATGGCAGGAACTAGTACCAACAACGACCTTATCCCGACCAGCGATGCTACTGGAATTGGAAATCCTGAAGACGACGAGGAGGAAGATGAGAAGGAACGGGGCAAGTTAAAGCCCAATGCAGGAAATGGTGCGGATATGCCCAATTATCGATGGACACAAACGCTACAGGAAGTAGAGGTAAGTGACGATTGTTAAAAATCAATGGTCACAATATCGTGGAATAGTGAAGGAGGAGTGAAGATAGGTTGATAAAGAATGCTGTGGATTTGAATAGGTCGTGTAGCTGTCGAATAACGTAGAACGGTATTCGCGGCTCGACAGTGTCTCGTCGGATGGACGTTTTATTTAATTAATACAGAAGTAATATCACAGACACGGCGAGCGGTCGATGCAACCGGCCGCCATCGCACTTTCGACACAAAATACATATCTCTATATGTATATATGTATATGCATATGAATATGTATACATAATATAATGTGTCTACATAGCTATGTAGCCCTGCGTCAATTTCTCGGAGGGTTCCGTATTTGATTTAGACGTTTCGTTAGTAATGATTAAATTAATACCTCTAAATTACGCTGCTAAGCGATTCTCCCGATTACTTGTGTTTCGTTTTTGCACTGTTCAACATTTCTTCAGATTGCACTATAAATTTAGACCTTAAAGTTAGCTGTTTGCGGTGGACGGCCATTAAAGAAGGAGATGCACGGAGAGGGGAGGGCGATTACGATTGGGAAAATGTGTGCGACGGTAAACGTCAGCCTGATTTTGTCTAGATTGAATCCTGGGGAGAGCATAAAGAATGCGAGAGAAAGAAAAAGAAGTAACGCCGAAAATTCTAAGAAATCATAGATTTCTGTTCGTCATATTGATTCTTAAACGCAATACTTTTTCAATCCCTTACAACTATCTTCTAATTCATTACGGTTCCACGTTGCGGCTGTAACTCGGAGGACCGTTGTTAATATTTATATAAATTAAAATCGAGCCCTCTAGAGACTCGTGTGACGTTACAGCACATAGCGCGCTCATTACACAAATGTAATTACTGATTTCACGTACCACACTATTAACACGGTGCAATACAGCTTAATTCTAAATCGAGGAGTCCTTACATCACCAGTTGGAATTGCCAGAATATCCGGTTCGCCTGACTATCCGATTTACCCGGATTGCACAAGGGATATACGCGCAAGCCTATATGATGATTTTCCCATTAAGTCTGTTCCAATTAATAATATCATTTTCGCAGCGAATTCGCATAAGGAAATGAGTTCCCTGACGCTGGTGTTTCTGGCATCTGCGCTGACTCCTCGTGGCTGGCTTCGATCTTCTTCTTCATCTAGTTGTACTTGTCGCGAGCCCTCACTGAAAGCATACGAGTACCGAACCAATTAGAAGGATTGGCGGGCGGGGGGGGGTGGTTGTGTTGTCAGACGATGAAGAAGGAAGAAGGGGGGTTTCTTTGTGTTGGTTAATAATACGCAAGGGGAAACGTAGGATACTCACTCTCCATGTAGAGAATGCCTGCGAGCAGTCCAACCATGAATAGAAAACTCATGGTGCAAATGAGTACAGTGAGCTGGTTCCTCGCGCACCAGGACTTCTTGTAGACTTTGGTAGGTCGACCCAGTCCGTTGACAACAGTGAAGTGAGTGCTGCTGGCGACCGAAGCAGTGTCAACAGGCTTAGGCGTTGACACTGTGGGTGGATGCATCGCAGCGAAAGTAGCGAGATTCGCTGCTGTCAGGAGCAGCGTACCCGAGGCTGCGCTCTGTATTTTCGAACAAGAGATTTCCTCTCGTTATTAAATTTCGAGGTGGGAACCAACGTAAGATTCACCGAAGACACTCACGTGCGTGCTGGCTGTGGATCCCTGAGACGAAGTGGATCCTCTAGAGGGCGACTTGGTCGGATGCAAGTGAGTCCAGCTTCCATTCTCGCTGTCCCTCTCGCTGGATCTTCCTACAAGGGATGGTCTCGGGATGTGCCAGGATGGCAAATCCGTCGGTCCTGCAGGAGCTGTTTTCGGCGCCGCCTCAATCTGAAAAAGAGTCGCTCAATTAGGCCGTGCCGGTGAATGCGCGCGCGCGCGCAGCACTTTCCGTTGCGCAAAAGATAATATCGCCGCGGTGGTTGCAACGTGCCTCTCTGCCCGCATAACCTCCACCTTTACAACTCCAGACCTCCCATACTTCTGAAGTCTCCACTTCTCTCCACTTCTCTCCACTTCTATCCGTGCTGCTACTTCGCATCGAGCCCCACTCTGATTGCAACGTACTCGCGCATAAGAGACCGAAAGCCACTCTAGTCGATCGGGTGGTGGACTTGGCGATGTCGTCGACGTCGTTGACCCACTAACGTTAGAGCGCCGCTTTACCCCGTTAAATGATTACCGAAAGCCAGAAAGCCAGTAGCCAACATCGAGGCATTTTGCAACATCCTCCCGTATTTACGAGGGCCTTATCGCGAATCTCTCTTCTCTCTCCGGGGTTTCATTGAAGTTTTACGAGTGGCTCTCGGGCACTGCCAGTGCGCCATGCTCACGTGCGCGCATGCTGGCACAGTAAATGTCAAGCAGACCAGGAGCAAGCTCAGAGGCGCTGCTGGATCCCATTGCGAGTTCGAAACTCAGCACTTTCACGGTCGACGGCGGACCGACTCAGTGATCTCCGGAAAACTTTGGAGAATAGCAGGGCTAATGACGATTACGAATGATAATTGGCAATTTTCGCAGGCAAAACAATCTCGCGCTTGCCTGCCTTCGAGTTGGGCGGTACCCAAGGACTCCTGCTGTCTGGACCAGTTTGTCAATTTTTTCTCTCCCTCGTCGTTTTTCAACCAATCGCAAATACGCGAAGGAGGCTTTGCCTCTCTCTCTCTCTCTCTCTCTCTCTCTCTGCCCCTCGCGTCCAGCGAAAGGGAGAACGGACAGGCAAGATCTCTTTGTAGAACGAGCCTTGTTCCTTGTTGTTGGATGCAAAGACACGCCAGCGAGAGTTCTAGTCCGGCCCGAGTCGATCCGACCGTTCGGCGGCATCTCGCTCTGATATTTTGAAAAGGATACAGCTCATTCTTTGGATGCTTCGAGCGGGAAAGAGATCAAGAGAAGGGATCGTGCGTGGACGAAGAACGCGCGCCAGCTCCTCGATACGAGAAGGATCAGACTCTTTGGAGAACGGGAGCAGCAGCGTTTAAAGAGGCGCGTTCCGCCGGGATTTTTGCGGAATTCAATACACCGGTCAGCCTCGTTCGCGGCGGCCGCACCTGTGAGCCGTCGAACGTTACGCGAGATAATCTCTAAGAAATTTCGAACCCGGCTCTAGGGTTCGCGTTCCTTGTTCCTGATTCCTCCCACCCAGCGTCTTTATATACGGCGAGCAAAAGGAATTGAAAAATGCCAGAGGCTCCCATAGAACGCATCTTTCTTCCTCCGGGTCATTGAATTTCCCCCGAAGTGCAGAGAGAGTCCTTACGTAACAGTCCTTACGTACAGGAAGCTGTTGACTTGCATGGAATGCAATGTCGCCATTGCAGGACAGCATGACTCGTTGACGACTCTCGTAATACACTTGAACGAATAATCCCCGACCTCCGGCAATGCTTATCGATTGCGCTCTCTCGGTATTTAAAGAAGAAGAAAAGAAATAAAGCGAAACCAGGTGGACGCCTTGCGGGGAATCCCAGCTGGCGGGGACTGACTGCGGGTCTTGAGGTTCCTCGATGATTGCGACGGTGGGCACGATCGCACTATCGGCTCCGCGATGTCACTCGAGATTATTCGGCGATCGGCTCGCAAGACTCTTTGTTCGCGCGGCGTGCATCGGCACGCTTTGACGCTTTGACGCTTTGCCACGCTTTGCCACACGGTGCCCACGGTCTCGTCGTTCCGAGTCCTTGGACGTTCTACTCCTGGCCTCCCCGGTATAACCTGTCTGTCGGTGAGTGACGGAACACAGCCGCATTACGGCACAGTTATGAAATGAATCTACGATTACGCTGCCGGGGAGAGTGAAAATTTCGCGGGAGGTCGAATCGTATCGCTCTACTACTCGGCTTGCGACTTATCGGCACGATCTCGTTTCACTAATGCGAAAATGCGAAAATGCGAAATCAATGTGCGGTACAGTCGGGTAAACCACCAATAAAAGTGCAGATGGCTCTCAGTCTGTGTGCCAGTGCAGCCTCCCCAGGTCCCAGCGCGCAATCAGCCAGCAGTAACGAACTACCAAGCGAAATGTCATTTTTATCAACAAGGAATCTCGTAGGAGATTCGGCAGAACCCGTTCCTACCGGAACGTTCCGAGTAGGCCTTCTCTAGGTCGTATGGAAATAGTTAAAACTGCCTCTTGATTAGCATACGTAGCGTAAACAAAGTTTCGATCGGATCGAACGGCGGTCGACACTCCGAGCTCCTCTGCTTTGCGCAATTCTCCCGATACGCTCCTCTTTTCCCCATCACCGATTGTCCCGCTAAAGGTTCGAGTCATCCGTTTCAGATTGAAGATCTGAGATTAGGCAGTCCACCTACTCCTTCCTCCTCTCGCTCCTCGCTCTGCCGAACAACAGTACCATCTTGTGCCACCCTCTGCTGTCGCCAACCAACCTCACAAAGAGTTCTTTCTCGAGACTCTTCCCTCTTCCGCTATCAACGGCACGTGTGAAAATCTTACGGATGGCAAATATGGCCTCGCGAGTGTCGCCTGGTGCTGCTGCTGCGGATGCACTCGCAGTTATCTCGAAGAAGAATTGTTAGACAATTGCATGTGTGAGTTAAACCCAAGGATCGTTAAAAGCACACGACACTCTCGAGTCTCGACGTCCCGGCGCTGCAGCGCTGTTTGTTACATTCGGCGCTGCAGGCCTGCCGACGACAGTTACGACACTCGCTGTGGAAGGAATTTCCCGAATTATGAGTTCGGCAGCTGCCACTGTGGAAATTTCGGTTTCCGAGTGACAGCGCACTATCAAATTTCTCCAATCTCGTCGTGCCCCCCCGCCCCACTTTGTATCTCGCTCGTTACGCTTCCACGTATCTCGCGATCGTGGCCAGATCGTATCGCTCTGCTCGTGCTCCCAGGTGAAAACGTTATCGTGGAGTGATATCGACAGAAACTTAGTTTGCCGAGGCCAGGAGAACGCAGTCATAACTTAACTTATAATTCAGTAATATTTCGAAGGCCGCGCGAAATCCGTGGTGCGAGACGCTAAATTGGACTAAGAATGATTAAGACCCGATGCCGACGACGACGTCGACGTCGACCAGCTATGACGACTGCGGCCTGCAGCACTTTCAATTCTTGTTGTTCGGTTCTGGCTGCTTGGCCTTCGTCGCCTTCGTTGCCTTCGTCGCCTTCGTTGCCTTCGTCGCCTTCTCCGGCAACAGGATGTTGTGCTCGGAAGACTAATCGGCAGCTCCTGGGAAACGTAAATTCGTTTCCACGCTTTTCCAAGAATCCCCAAGAATGGCTGTTCCCGGTTGTCGCTTCACCTTTCGACTGCACTGGCTTTTTCCTCGCCGATCAAAGAGACAACAAGGAACGAAGCAAGCTAAACAATTGACAAAGCGAGAAGTTTGCCAAGAAGGCAGTACGAGTTTGGAAAGTGAAATTTTATTCTTTGTAAGAATGCTAAAGGATCGGTCGCGCGCGCGATAGTTCGCGGATTCCTCGCAGGGTTCTGGCAACGAGGCGAGTTCGCGAGTTCGCGAGTGCAAGAAGGACGGAGGGAGGGAGGGAGAGAGAGAGAGAAAGAACGAAGGAGTCGCAGGGACGCGGAGAAGAATAGCGGTGGGCCAGAGGGAACGTCAACGACCGCTGGTAACACCGACAGGACGATGCTTCGTGCTTTCGTCATCGCCGAGTCATCGTTTGATCTTCATTTTGACGTTTAACCGGAGAAGAGAGATTCGCGAAGGCCCTGGGAGGATCGCAGATCCAAATTCCTGAGGTTCTTGGGCATGCTTAGCGTTTATCTTGCTCTTGGAACTGAAAGTGTGGGAACGCCGGGAAACAAAAGAGCGCGTGGGCCGTGCGAGTCCAGGTCGCCGACGAAGGTGGCCACTGGAGCAAGCTTAAAGGTAGGGTCGACTGGTGACCTCTCTCTCTCTCTCTCTCTTTCTCTCTTGTGCGTCAGCGCAACCCCCAGTGACGCAGGAGCTGCATCCTTATCAGTGAGTCAAGGGTCCATGTCTCTTTCGGTAATAGCAATAGAGGGGAGGGACTAGGACACGGAATAACTTAAAGATCTAACGATTATGTGGTGGGACTTACGTCGAGGTCTGGTTGCTCCTGACCGTAGGAAAGATCCTCTATGTTGATACGAATTTGCGACATGCTCCTTTGATCTTGCAGCGTCTTTAAGTGTTCTTGGCTGTCTGTATCCTTCGATACCTGTAATCGCGGGCGGATCGCTAATCCGATCGGCAACTCCGAAAATTGAATGACGTTCGTTGATCTCTCGGAATAATTTGAACTTTTTGCCAGTCGACGAGTCCTGCTAAATTTAATCACTGACTCCGACTGCAGTTCACTCGTAATCCAAAATATCCTCACTGTCACCTCCCGCCGATAAAGGACGAAACGCACGCAATTTCGAATACCGTGTCCTTGGTCTCTTTGTGTGCTCTGTGCTTTTTTTGACTATCCGGGACTATTCGTGATTCTCTCTCTCTCTCTCTCTCCTCTTCCCCTTTCTTTTCTCTGTCCTGTCGCCGAAGGAATAAAAATGAACTGGTCCTTCCGCGAGAGGAGAAGAAAGTCGAGCAAGCAGAGGGCGCAGAAACGTCTGGTTCGAACCGTTAAAATTCCTATGGAAAATCCTGCACAGAATCACGGGGACACGCCGTTTTGAGATTGTCTCTCTCGCACGCGTGCGACTAGAGACGCCGCATCAGGCTTTTGACTGGCTTCCTGCGTCTGGACGGATCGGTTTTATACCTTCGCATCTCCCACTCTGTGCATTCTCTCGTTCTTTCGCTCTTTCGCTCTCGCCCACTCGCTTCACACGGCAGCCCCAGCGAGCTCTTTCTTTCTCGCGTGGAATCGGCCTGTGGTGGTCTAGCGCAAGGACACCCGCCGAGAGGGAGACATTGCCCTATCCTGGATTCGAACGTATCCTCCGCTGAGAGAGTGTGGAAGGTAGTCAGTGGGTAGGTACCTACGTAGGCATCCAAGGGAGGCAGCAGACCCCTCGAGTACCAGTAGTACCAGAATTCACCAGAAACCACCAGAAACCACATCCTGGCCAGGTGCGATCCTTTCGGATAAACATCTGTGCTTTACTCAAAAAGATTCTCATTGCGCTGGAGCAGTGAGAAGAGCAAGAGCGGAGCAGTCTGGGTCCATGTGCCGAGCGCCTCTCGTACCTTTGGAATCTCGTTGGCAGCGTTTCTGCTGTCGGATGATTCGCTCGCAGAATAAACGGACAGGCGATCGATGACGAAGCAAATCGACTCCTACGAACGATGACTCGTAACACGCGTGACACGTTGCTTTTATTCCGTCCATCCTCACTGCGAGAGCCCAGTGCTTCAGGCCAGCTGCCTGAAGCCTCGGCTGCACTGTTTTTTACGCTTTTTTTAAATCTTTTTTACGTTGAACAGGTTGGAACTGTCGGACAATCAAGGCGACGTAAAGTCTGCAAAATTAATTTCCCTCAAGTCCAGACGATTTGGCTTTCCTTGGGTATTATTCATTGGCGGCATTACATATTCTTAGCATGCACGCTACAGATCAAATCAGGCAGCCGGGTCGCCAACGGCCAACTATTTCAGACAAGGACTCTTTTCCTTCCTCGAACGCGTTTACTGGCTCCTCAAGGCCGATATCTCGCTAAAATAATGTAGATCGCTAAATCGACAGCTGTGTTCACCTCCCCCCCCCCCCCCCCCCCC